TTAAAAAGCCAAATAGGAATCCATTGAAGAGAAATTGAGTTCTGAAGAGAGGGAGTGAATAAAAAAAATGAATCGTTTTTGAAAAAGTGAGAGGGGATGGAATCTGAAGCTCTGATGGAGCGACTGATCTTAAGCAGGAGCTAGAACAACATGTATATTGTAACACGATATAAGAAGGAAGTCAGAATGCGAAGGGAGGTTTAGATGCTTGCATCGAAGAGTTGAGAAGAGTTACATCGAAGAGTTAGATCATATCTGATGGCTTTTCTTTTCTCTGGGAAGGAAGAGAAGGCATGTGGTCAGAAGATGGTTGGGGAAAGTTCTTGTGGAGAGGGGCAAAGGGTGGCAGGTGAGTGTTGAAGTGATCAGAAATTGATGTAGGTGATTATAAATTCCTTGTGTGATTTTCTCCATTCAATGTTTGCCTGCTTGGGCCTGGGAAAAGGCATGGAGAAACAAACCAGAGTATTGGGGCCATCAGGGCTATGATTGCTAAAGACAATCCGGTATTTCTCAAACTGGTCTTTCTCCAAACATTCTCCTGACAGATGTTAATAGGTATATTGAGAGAGAGAGAAAAAAAACTCCCTTGGTCTAAGACATTTGGGAGAACCACTATATACTCTCTTCTGTTCTTCATGTGCACGTGCACATATTTGAAATTCTGAGGGTCTTACATTTGAAAAACCAGTTAAATTTACTGTAGTCAACTTTTTCAAGCGTATTTGCATCCAGAATGCCCTGTGTATGTTTCATGCGTTGTATCTGTTAAGGCCACATAGTTTGATTTATGATGGATTAGGTAATCAAGAGTTCCCTCCATTCACCTTGCCCTTACATAAAAGGACAGGAGCCTTTATTCCTTTCACTCAACATGTTTGCATTATCTGTGGTTAGCCATTTAAATCCACATCGATTTAGTGTGAAGCAATACCTAACCCATTCTGCAATGTACCTCATTCTGTATGAATAGCAGCTCTAGCTGTTAGCCAGTTGTTATCAAGGTTTGTTGTAAACTTTAAAACACAAACAATAAACTGCCTTCCTTATTGTTCTTCGAGGACTGTAAGAAGCCACCTTGAAAACTGGCGAGCAAAACAGGGCCAGTGACCACGCCAGACGGTTAGGATTAGGGCTGGTGGGGAGGGTGGCAATCAGAGTTACCTGTGTTATTATTTTACTACTATAATACATGTTTTCGTAGGTCTTTACAATCTACAGATTGCTCTCATGTGTATTATTTAATTATTGTTGAGAAAGTTACAACTGTTATTGGTGAGAGCAAAGAACATAGTTTGTGGGGAGAGGGGCAACAAATATGTTGAGGAACAAAGAGGAGCTGGGAAGGGAGCTAAAAAAAATATTAGGGACAGTGGTCTAAATCATGCATTCTCGATGGAGGTGGTATTGCTACCAAGGGAGTAAAAAGTCTTTCTGGGGGACAAAAAAAAACCCCCACAAAAAACAGATATTACAGTGGTTTGTGACCCTCCAAAGGGCCACTGTACAAAAACAGATATGCAGTATATTTGAGGTTAACATTTCATGGTGGGGGACGGTTAGGAAAAAAGGTCTACAAAGGCTTGTTGAGGGGGAGGGGTGATAATGAAAACGAGGTTGGGGAACACTGGTCTAAACCCTGTGGTGCCTGTGGAACTTTGTGACATTCATGAATGGTTCTTCTGTTTCCCCATGTGTTAGACAATGAATTTTTCTAGCACAGTGTCTGCTTCTGGCTTTGTTTGTCCTGCCCATCTTCTCCAAGGCCCTAAAATGACCATGTTTTACCACTTAAATTATTTTCTTTTCTGGCACAGCTGACTAAATTAGGGTGGACATAAGCCAAGACCAGTTAAGGCACAGACTGGCCAGTGAGTGATTGGTCCCAGGAAGCCTGGCTGCACTCACTTCCTCTCATCAGACTCCTGTGATGCTACTATGTATTTTTATAACATCTATTCTACCTTTGATGACTTGAGTGGGGACCAAAAGAGCCCAGGTATCTCCCCAGTCAGGACACTTGGCCTGGTGGTGTACCATTTGAGTGAGATTGAATGTGATTGAATGAGGATGGAAGAGAAATCTATTTGAATCATCAGCTCTTCATCCTTCATTCTTCATATATTATTTATCTGACTAACATAAAGTACGGTTTCTCAACAGCTGCAACATGGACATTTTGGACCAGAAAATTCTTTGTGGGGTAGAGTTTCCTATGCATTGTAATAGGTTTAGCAGCATCCCAGGCCTCTTCCCCCCATGAAATACCAATCCCCTCCCCAAGTCGTGACAACCAAAAATGTTTCCAGACATTGCCAAATGTCCCTTGGGGGAGGGGCAGAACTTCCTCCAGTTGAGAACTGCTGATATGGAGAAACTAGAAGATCAGAAATTTATCGATTTCCTAATTGTATCAGTATGATCAGCAATGTCATAAAGAGCTCGTAATCTGCTGCAATGTGTCACCTTAATGAGGCTGTTGCTAGAAATGATGGAGGACTCTCCTTGAGAGCTGAAACCAGTTGTTACCGTGATATTCACAGCTAACACTCAGGGAGTGCTTGCTTATGTGCCAGAAGCTTGCTAAGCACATTCCGTACTGCTATTATTCTACCCACCCGACAGTTAAGAGAAGTGAATCATGGAGATGTTAATAGGCTTGCCCGACGTCATCCAACTGGTAATAGCAGAGTCTCCTAGGCAGTGTGGCTCCGGAACCCAGGTGCTCATGAACGCATAACGTCTCTGTCGTACTGTTTTTCAGGTAACATCTGTACTTCTTTATCTTCCAGAACACTCAGCATAGTGCCAAGCAAACACATAACAGGTTCTCATTAGACTCTTATTGATTCTGTCCATATTGACATTGGCGTGCACTGGGGCACTTATCACCGTCTATAAAACAGCACCCTCCTTTATTTTCTAACTCCTTATCCTGTTTTATTCTTCCTTAGAGTGTTTGACATCATCTGACATGTATACTTATTGTTTGTTCCTCCACTCCCCAACAGACTAAAACATAAGCTGCTCGAAAGGAGGGGCTTTGCCCGCCGTTTACTGCTGTATCCACAGCACCTAGCACATTATTTGGCATGTAGTCGATGCCCATTAAACATATGGAATGAATGGAGAAAGCCTTTAACTGAAATGCCATATTCAAATCTCTTCACGCGGGTTATTCAGCATTACTTTTCCCTCAATACTGCATTTAAAAAATAACCTTTCTTTGAATGACCAGAAACGTTTATGCAGAAGAGAGGCATAGCCCTCAACAGAAATGCCAGGGCTGGGATCTCCAACTAATGCCTCCCACTATTGATTATTACCTGGCCTTTGTCACGCACATCTATTCATTTTTAATTTGGCTTTGTTGGCCTGTGAGAGCAATTTAATAGAAGTCATGATAATATACACAGTCAGTGAAATTAATTTATATTTGCCTTGGGTTTAAATCACATAGTAAATTATAAAGTTTTGAGAAACATGTCACAGACAATACAATGGCAGACTTTTGCACAAAAGTAATCAGAAGTTGATTCTACCTTCCCATCTCTCTCCCTAACAACTATTCATAAGTAGAAAAGAATAGCTTTAATTAAAATTTATTTAAAATGTAGCAATTGCTCATTATGTAGAAAATGAAGCCACATAGTAACACAGTTAAATTACAGTCAAAGCCCCTTTGTTTCAAAACGATCCTTTTCTTGCCCTCCAAAAAATTACTTAAAAATTTTTACTCTTTTCTCTCCCCAAAATGGAGGCTTAGGGCAGTTGCCCAGTGTTGCTTTTTGTAGAAACATCAATTGCTATCCTGCAATGAGGCATTTCAGGCAATTATGTTTGCTCTAAACATGAGAGTGCATGTTCCCCAAACCTGAATTTTTAGCCCTGAGAAATTTAGATCAGGCTCATCCCTCATCTATGTTCAAACATCGTCAGACCCCTCGCAGCTAAACAGGCTGAGGAGGCAAACAGATGCCTTTCTGTTTCTGGGGTTTGGAGCTGAAACAGACGTCTCCAAATTAGAAAGGATGGTTAGCAGAACACCATCGTCCACACTTGTCACAGGTTCCCAGCCCCCCAAACTCCCCATATCCCATAATTGGCGTACTGGCACGCTCATCATTGAATTCTGGCGCCAGCCACCTAAACGCATCAACCGGAGACTGTTCCGTAGTGAGGTTAAGTCTCACTCAACACTGGGTCCGATTTTTTGAAGAAGTTATATAGCATGATTTTATGCTATACTGTCTTATGTTTGTAGAAGCAAGAAGCATTTTCCTGGGTGATCCTAGGCTCTTGAGGAGTGTCTAGAGTGGCTTGGGTTGGGATGTTAGAATAAATTCACTCCTTTAAAGCCATATATAAATTAACCACAAAGACTCATCTGGCAAAGACTCATCTGTACACAAGCCTCTCAGGTTGTGGCACAGCCCCATGAGCTACTTGGCAGAGTCCAGTGGGAAAATTCCCATCTGACTTTGTGGGTGCTTTATGATGTGAGGGCCATGTCAGAAGTGGGAGTGGGAACAAAAGGAAACATGAAATAATGTTATTTCTCAGGTTTGGACAAAGTGAAAGGTTTGAAAAGTTAGGACTCAGAGGTCCATGGGGTTCCAGACAGATATAGACATTCTTCTATTCCTTCCAACCAGAGGACAGCACCAATGCTGGGAGTAAGTGGTATAGATACTTGGCAGGCCCCCAAAAGTCACCTGTCTTGGAGCAAGGAGGCCAAGAGTGTTGCTGCCCAGTGCAGGGTGTACTTACTGCCAGGCTGGCCACGGAAGAGTCACCAGATTCACTTGCCATATACAGAGGGTGCCAAAAAAAGTATGCACATTTTAAGAAAGGAAAACTGTATTAAAATTGTAATACTCAATGTGTACTGATAACAAAAGATGAATACAAGTCATGTTGGACTTCTGCGATTACAAGAGGTGCTCAAAGTGTTTACCATCAGTATCCAGACACTTCTGATTATGGCGAACTACTGCTTGAGTAACACTGACCAAAGTGTCCACTTGTACACATTTTTTTGGCACCCCTGGTATACAGAATCCCATTCCCTGCCCTGGGAGATTCCAATTCCAGCAAATCTGAGGTAGGACCTGGCACAATGCATTTTTAACTAATGATTCTGATGCACAACTAGATCTGGGGAATTCTGCAAAGACTGGGAGAAACAACTTTTCTTGTGAGGAGAGGTCAGCTAGAAGAGATAAAGAGCACCCGTCATACTGAGCTGAAGTCCTCTGGCTGAGGGATCAGATGAAAAGAACACTGCCCAGTCCCTAGCGTGATGCATATGCTGTTATTACAGCTTATGCCTCACACAAGGGAGAAAGGGCCTAGTTGCTGGTTGTCTACTTTCTACATATTCTTAAGAGGGCAATGTATCAATCAACATTGATCAGTTTAGACTTAGTTTATCATCTGGCACCAAACATTGTCTTGGAATGTTTTCTATGTGAGGGTGATAGATAATAGCAAAAGTGTAAAAAAAAAAAAAACAGCCATAAAAGGGGACACTTCAAACAGATCCTTATTATTTTGGAATTTTAATGTTAACAGATGGCAGCTTCACAGGTCAAAATCCTCTATGGGTGAGGAAAACACTGAGGGGGAAATGATGTTGAGATCGGGCCCAGCCACCCATGAACTTAAGAACTTGCTCTGTTGTGCAGAGATTTTGTTTTGTATTTGTGATAACAGATAGCTGTGATGGTCAAGCTCATGGGTAAACACCCAACCCCGTTCCCCATTCCCTTTGAATCCCTTGGGAGCTCTGAGGGCTTCAAGTTCACATGCCTGTGAAATGTACTGGTGGGCTCTTTGCTGGAAGACCCATTTCCCTGGTTTTTCCTGCCGCTCCCCTTTTCCCATTGGGCAAGATGTGGAAAGAGAAGTTAATGGATTCACTCCACTGATACTGCGTGGTGCCAAGTAGGGCCCCATGCTACAGAGCCTCAGCGGTATCCACAGATAGGAAGGCCAAGAAGAGAGACAATACGCCTTTTTCAGTGGTGGGATGTGCCGCTCACATAAAATTCCTGAGTCTCTTTTCTAGACATGAGTAGAGACCCAAAGAGTTCTCGGTTTGAGCATGTGTGGGCACAACTTGTGCTCACCGTATACCAACAGAGACATACTTAAGTCTCAGAAGCAGCCTTCAGGTAACGGTGGTTGAGGCTGGTGCCAGGTGGGGACAGAGCCTCCTCAACCCTCTTGATAGAATTGCCGGAAGAGGCTCTGGGTAGACAGAAGATCCAGCGATAGGTTTCTCTGCTCTTGCTCAGATCTGACTAGGCGGTAACCCAGCAAATTCATGGTGTCGCGGCAGACTTCCTGAAGTTGAGAAACCTTTCCATAAGGCAAGGACCAGCGCCAGGCCTGGGAGACGTTGAGGGCATTCCTGGAATTTGTATGGAAGGCATGAGTACCAATGCCCTTGCCTCGGGTGATGTTGTGCACCCAAGTCTGGAGATGGGGCAAGAATTTCAACCCCGCGTATTTGTACATTCGGGCAGTTTCGGCCAGGGGGTCCTGGACCAGGTCCTCATAGCGCATGAGCAAGTAGCGCCGCCTCAGGGCTTTGGGCAAGGACTGCACAGCCTTGTAGATCTCCAGCTGGCTGTGGCAGATGGTCTGCATCACATGGTAGGGTTGCTCCTCCTCCTTGAGTTTCTGCCGGTCCTGCCCCATCACAATCCGACTGTCAATTATGAGTTCCATTGCGGTGCGTTCTCGGGAACGGAACACCGCCCGGGGGTCCCGGACCAGGTGCACGATGTGTAGATTGAGGGAAGGGTCCCTCAGCAGCGGGTAGAGCACCTGCAGGTTGAAGAAACGCACCTCCTTGAGCACCACATGGCTGTAGTTGCGGCAGGACTTTTCCACCACCTCAAAGGGCTGTTTCTTGCACAGGACCTTGCAGTGAGCCTGGGATATGATCGTATCCCGCGGGAAGACGTTGCAGGCAGGCGGGGAGCACAGGGCCCGGCTGGTCTCCCACTGGAAGAGGCTGGACTGTGTTCGGGGACCAGGTTTCATGTAGGCATCAAAGACGCTCATGTCACACAGAAAGACAGACCGGATCAGATCCCGCACTGCCATATGCAGACTCCAGGGGGTGCTTTCTGTGAAGGTCATCCAGACGTGCCAGGCAGGCTCCATCAGGTAGAAGACATCTGGGTGCTGCCCAAAAAGCTGGCCCACAAAAGAAGAGCCGGAGCGCCAGGAAGACAGGACCAGCACGTGCATGGGCTTGGGCTCCTCCCTTGTAGACAGGGAGTTGAGGTGGTTTCTGTACGAATGGATGAGGAGAGCTAAGATGGCCATCTGGGAAACCAGGAACAGCAGTAGTAGCTTCACTTTTCTGGGCAGTGCCATCGTGCTGAAGTGGAAGACCTTCAAGGAACAAGCACAAGGACTGTGTTAGGCCACTGTTTTGGTGTCTGCCTTCCATTCCGTTTCTAGCCAAAGCCACCATGTTCCTGGCCCCAACAAGGCGCAATGTAGAATGCTGGAGGCTTCTTGTAACCAGTTGCACAAATCCTTCATGTCAGTTCCTGTCCCTTGCAGTTAGTGTATCAATAACTCCTATTTATTTTAGGCTCTTTACTTCCTCCCTCCTGGTCTTTCTTGTCCATTGAGCTACCAAAAAATATCTGATGAAATATCACATTTCATCAATGTAGGGGAACAGCTCCACCCTGGCACCCTGGTGACATGCATGTGCTCACAAAGGCCACTAGGCAAATCTTAGCTGCAACCTGACGCACTTTCAGTTTCAGCTGAAAGCCCTGTGATTCTTTCTCAAACTAAGGAAGATAAGCTGGCTTGTGAGGAACTGCCTAAGGCCATCACCCACCCCGCCATCTTGAGATTGCCACAAGGTCATTTCTCATTATCTTCCTGAATTTTCAGTTCCCTGAAGGCCATGGCTACAGTCTATAAAACTGCTTGGCTTTAGTTTGGAGATGTCTCCTTAGTATCACCTACTCCCCTCTGATTTGGTCTCATTGTGTGGGACTAAGAATATGAGGAGCTGAACCAATGCTGACTTCACATATGTGCAAGTAATGAATTATCTGAAACTGTTTAGGTTGAATTGTTGTCTCCTTAACAGCCAACTCTATAAAGTATGGCAAGCCAACCTTAGAGCTGCAGTAGTGATACTTGTGGCCTGTTAGCCATTCTGCTGCTGCTTGGGGGAATGTTTGACCACTTGACACAACCTACTCGGGGCTGCCCAGTATGGTTGTGCAGGTTGTGCTCTGCATAACCCTAGGGAATGCCATCTCATCAAGAATTTAAGGGCCGGCCGAGTGGCGCGTTGGTTAAGAGCTGGCTTGGGACACCAAAGGGCCCCGGTTCGGATCCCACATATGAGGGCCAATGTCACTGCCCTCTACAGCTAAGATGCTGAACAACAGCTCAACCTGGAGCTGGGCTGCCTGGTGATGGCGTATGCTGCAGCCCCTGCTGTAGTGGGTTGCCATGGGCTACCGTGTGTAGCCAGCAGCCTCAGTGAGTGGCCGTCCAGAAGCTGGTGACTGATCTGCCTCGCCCGGGAAGACCGCAATGTTGGTGCCAACGTGGGCCAGTTGGTGCCACAACTAGACTGAAGAACGAAAAGGACAGCAACTTGTCTGTTTCCCTTCCCCCAATTCCCCAACGCTGTTCCCATCCCCCAATTCCCCAATAAAAATCTTTAAAAAAAAAAAAGAGTTTAAGATATGTATTATAAAAATATGTTCTAGTAGGTGATAGTAAAGTATCTGAGTCCAACAGAATAAGTATATTAGGATGATTTGCCAGTTGTTAGATGTTAAATATCTAGAGAAATGAATTTCTCTTTGTAATTCACAGTAAAGCTCATATAGACTGGTGGTAACCCTGAATTTACTCCTATCACAGTCAGAGTTTGCTTTGTGTAAAAAGTGCCATGCTAGAATATTATTCCAACAGAGATCTTAACCCTCTTTAAGGGCTAAGATGACTCTGAATCATTTTGGGTAACTTCCTGATAAATAACTATGAAGAGATAAAATAGGTATTTCACAAGGTGTAAATTATTAATAGTAGCAAGGTGTTAATTTGTATATCACTATATACTGCAAAAATTCTTCCTTCAAGCTTTAATAAAGAAGAGAAAATATATTTCTAGGCAGTAACTGGAGCTGGATTTAGGATTTGCTATTTTCCTGGTCTTCTTGCCAATTTAAAAAAGTTTTTAATAGGTAATAGTTACATGGTTCAAATTGTTTTAAAAAGTATCATTATTATGGACATTGGATGCACTGACTCAGAATTTAAATGAAGTCTTTCTAAGATTCTATATACAGAAAGGACATAAGAGGAGTACTTGCCAGCCTGCAGCCCAGCCTGGCACACTCCAGGCCTTTAACATATGGAGTGATAGGCAAGGGAAAGTCCTGTGACATTCAGCTACACTGTAGAGGAGGCCTAGAACCATAAATTAGAAAACCTCTAGAGCTATTCGTAAACAGGGCCAATGACATACTTTTTAAAGGGGTCACATTATTGTCCTGGGGAATTTTATCAGCTGCTGAATCAGTAACCTTGTCTCTATTTACTAACAGCTGGTGTTTACTTATTAGCTGGTGTTCTTTTCATCATTGTCAGTGAAAAGTCTACTTCCACCACCTGTTTCCCACCTGCCCATTTTTCAGCTTGCCCACAGATAGCAACTGGGTTCATTTTTCATGTGTCCTTCAGCTGCTTTACGCATACACAAGAAAATTCAAATGTACATATATTCTTAACTTTTTTCCCTCTTTATAATACAAACCGTAGCTATTTAGTCACACTCTGCTGCACCTTGTTTGTTTTTTAACTTAACAATACATCTTGGAGAGCTTTCCATGGCTGTACATACATGTTTCCTCATTCCTTTTTACCACTACATAGACTCCTATTGTGTGGATGTAGCACAATTTATTTAATCAGTTTCCTCACGGATGGGCTCTTGGGTTATTTCCAGTCTTTTGCCATTTCAAAAACTTCAATGATGACCTTTATGTTCACACATCATTAAACATGTCATATGTAAGCTAAATCCCCAGATATGGAACTGCTGAGTCAAAGAGTACGGATATATGTACTTTTGATAACTGCTCAGAGAACCTTCGTACTGGCCATAAACCATTCTCTGTGTCCAGAGCTCCAGCGAGTTCAGGGAGTGGAGTTTAGAGGAGGAATTGGGCAGCCACAGAAGTGACTTTTGGAGTTTTTAAAGCTTGCTTCCTGAAGAGGTAGAGCATTCTCTGTGGGTTTATGTACTTCCCTTGGAAGTCCCCTGAACCTTCTGGGAAGCAAGTAATGACTCAAGCCAAACCTTGTGTGGCAGTGGCACCAAAATCTCTCTCTTCCACTTATTACAACAATGCATTTCTTCCGTATGTGCCACAACAATCCAGTGAGGACCATCTCTCCTTGGTGGCCGAAACATGCTTTGCGATATGCCAAGGAAATGCCAATGAATGGTAATTCCTGTCTTGGCTCTGAAGGTTAGAACAGGAACGGCTAAGTTATGCTCCTCATTATTTTACACTTGAGCCCGAAAGGAAATGATTAGAAATGAGTCCATTATTGACAATGGCCCAAGAATGCCCCCACCAATGCTCCTCAAAGACCGAAGAGGGACTTTAGCAAGAAATCTTCTCCCAAAGGCAATGTGAGTATGAGGGAAAGTTTGGAACAAAGATAGGAAACAATGGAGCAAGAGAGAGGAAAGTAACGAGAACTTGACCCAGGTACAATTATAAGGAAACGGATAGAATTTTATAAGCGGGCCTATAATCAACTCAAGGAAAAGCTAACATTTCCTAGCGTTACTGCCTCCCTCCCCTGTCCAGGCTTTGAGCCAACTCAGTGTCCTAAGCCTTCCTTGACTGCCAATAGCATTTGGCCTCATGCCTATTCTTTCCCAGAGCTCCAGCCAGGCCTTCTAACTTTGTTGCCAGTTGTCCTTAGTTTTCCATGGTTCTCAGGAATTCCCATGGAAACCCTCTGACTTCTTTCTCTGCTTTTTCTTCCCATGGACACTTTTCCTGGCCAGAAAGAAAGTATGCTTTTGTAAAGTGAGTCCCTTCTCTTGTCACTGGGATCCACACACATCCTGGATCTAGACAACCCTTGACAGAGCTGACCAGACCGCTAGGGAATGCTTTAAGGTGTGTCCTAGGCAAAGCTCATTTCTGCAGAGACTGTAATCAATGGTAGAAGCGGATACTCTTGAGACCCTGGGAGAAGTGCTGTGGCTCTCTGAAGAAAAGGAAACGTGAAGCTTTTTATGGCAATGTCCTCTAATCTAACCACTTCTCCCCAGTGGTCCTGCACTAACCTCCTCTGTAGTCCCTAGAGTTGATAAGCATTTGTGAGAAGTCTGTGATGTGATTCCATCTCTGAGTCCCTGGTCCACCTTCCTGAATGTTCTTTTCTGGCTCTTCAGTTGCATGCTTGAATCCCATCCTCCCTGTTGCCGGAATCCCAAATCTGCTCATCTCTAGCCTGGCTTTGAGGGTAAGTAGCCTCTCTCTCCTGGCTTTCAGCTCTCCCCATCATCCACTGCAGCCAAAAACTATCTTTTCAAAGCACAAGTCTATCACTCCCCTCCTCAAAATCCTTCAATAATTTTTGAGGGGAAGCAGAGTTTTCCACTCCAAAATATTTGGGGATGTTGGGGATATTGAGTATTTTAAGCTGGTTATTTTTCAGAAACAAAAGACTCAGGAAGAGCCTTTGGCCTAGCCCCGGAAATGACTTAAAGAATTTAGATAGAGAACCTGCTCCAGAAAGGGAGGCTGTTGTTATTGATAAGTACATTTGGATATAAACTAAGTATAATCAAGGTCCTCTCTATGTCCCATTGTTAAAGATGGCCCAGCAAACATTTATTAACCAAACATTTGCCTTTCATCTCCATGTAAGTTTCCTTCCTGCCCTTTGAAGTCCCAGCCCATAATCCCCTCTCCACCCCCTTTTCCTTCGCTCAAGATGGCATATGAGCCTTAGCAGCCCCCAGATGTAGATATGTAATAAATTTGGTCATTTCCTCCTGTTAACCTGTCTCATGTTAATTTGATTATTAGCCTAGCCAGAAGAGCTTAAAAGATATTATTTTTCCTCCTCACACTTTCCAACACATACAGGATTAAGTCGAAATCCCCGTCTTTTTTTTTTTTTTCCAAAACACTGACGGAGTTTTATTGAAAACATAAAATACAGAAACACCAGATTCTCATTTTAAAGTAAAATTGACAGCATTTTCCAGAACTTTTTTAGTACTGCACTATTCTCATCACTATTACAAAACAAAATCAAGTTCCCCAAATCCCCAAGCCTTACACCTAGGGTCCTTTGTGATCTAATCTTTGGTCTCCCGTCACTCCTCTCCTTTCTGGTGCTTTAGGCTCCAGTCTTTCCTTTCAGTTCTTCCCAACTTGCCCTGTTATTCAGAAGCCCTGAGACCTTTGCAAGAACTCTCCTCCCTCAAGATTCTGCCCACCTGTCAGCTTTCTCCCTAAAAGTTATCTCCCTTCTTCTAAGATTTAGTTGTTCCCCAAATTTTCTCTTGGCATCCTGCTCTCACTCTATAGTAAACATCTATAGGTAAATGTCTCGCCCACAGGGCCATTGTAATTTAAGGGTAAAGGCTCTGTGTCTTCTCTTGTTTGCAGGTACATAAAACTTGCAAGCGACTAAGGCTCATTAAATACTTGCTGAGTAAATAAATAGATAGATAAATAGTTGAATGTGGGCGGAGGCATAGCCATTGCTAGACAGCAGATAACTGAATGAGATCCATCAGAAACTGAAGCTTGTCCTTTTCTAAAATTCACATGGATGTCGCGTTAGTACCAGTGACTAAAATTTAGGTGATTTCATTGAGTATTGAGCACAGCACCAATACTGTCTCAATTGCAAGATATTAATAAAGTCAGAGACATAATTTTGATGTAACGTGGACAGTTAGCCTCACTCCAAAAAAAAAAATAGTTTCTACACAGAACATGTATTAATTCAAACTAGAGGGAAAATGAATGTTATTTTAAGAAACATTTATTAATAAGAAATAAAAGCCCCAGGGCCGGCCGAGTGGCGCGATGGTTAAGAACTCGCTTGGGATGCCAGAGGGCCCCGGTTCGGATCCCACATATGAGGGCCAGTGACACTGCCCTCCACAGCTAAGATGCTGAACAACAGCTCGACCTGGAGCTGGGCTGCTGTGAGTCGCCGGCGACGGCGTGGGCTGCAGTCCCTGTGGCAGTGGATTGCCATGGGCTACCGTGTGTGGCCAGCAGCCAGCGTGAGCGGCCAGCAGCCGCAGTGAGCGGCCGTCCAGAAGCCGGCGACTGATCTGCCTCGCCAGAGAAGAGCGCAATGATGGTGCCAACTTGGGCCAGTGAAGCAACGTCCACAACTAGATTGAAGAACAAAACGACAGCAACTTGTCTGTTCCCCTTTCCCCAATTCCCCAGCACTGTTCCCATCCCCCCAATTCCCCAATAAAAATCTTTAAAAAAAAAAAGAAATAAAAGCCCCATTGCAGGGCAACACACTCCTTAGACTATGTCCCTTGCTCTAACCAGTTCAGTTAGAAAAAGAAAAAAAGAAGGAAAAAACCATCAGCACATCCCATCATCACCACCCCCTGAAAATAATTTAAAAACCTGTTGCCCCAGTCATGGGCAGTTGGTATCATCTTGGCACACAAAGGAATCATCATTGAAGATTCATGAGAACTTTAGGATCTTGAAAAACATCACCGAAGGGGTGGCATCTATGTCAGGCACGGGGACCATGAGGCACCAGATGGGCGACTTCATCCAGCAGCCTGATGACAGAGAGCTGAATTATAGACGACCCCCAAATTGGTACCCTGGAGCCTTTTAGAAACAAAATGAGGAATTCTGAGGAAAAAAACAGACAGACATCAGTTTAAGAGCCCTGGATTCCAGCCACTGATGCATTCCTAGCTTAGATTGCCCAGTGAGAGTATGCCTCCACAACCAGGAATTATAGATGGCAGAAGATATTTGCACAGAGAACGGAAGATATTTGCACAAACAGAGAACAGAGCTGGGTTGAGGAAACCAACATGCACACATATCTGTAGGCTCCAGAAATCGGTGGAGATAAGCATTTGGGCACAGGGTGTCCATATGATAACAAAAAACTAGACCGAAAGCACCAGGAGGACCAGACCTGGGTCCTTGCCACCACTGTGTCTCTAGCACCAGCAACAGATGCTCAGGAAACATCTGTTGAATGAATGACTGGATGAACAAACATTTGTAGAGTGCTTTTTCTGTTTGAAGTTCCCTCATTGATCTGGGTAAGGAAGGTGGGACAAGGTATTTTTATTTTGTACATATAAAAGTATTTCAATTCCAGTTAGAAGTTCCAGACTTGTCCAAGGCTGTCCAAGATAGAGGTCTCTTCTACTCTGGCCCATGTGCTGGCGTCATCACTTAATTTTGCTTTACATCTGAATGGCGCTCTACAACTTTGAAAGCCCTTTTAGCCACAGGCATGACAACAATCCAATTAGATATACAGGCATACCTCATTCTCATTTTACTGCACTTCGTGCTTCACAGATACTGCATTTTTTACAAATTGCAAGGCCTCCACCAGCATAAAGATTACAACCCTCTTTATTGTGAGACTCGCTTGAGTGCTGTGATCTAGAACCGAACCCCTAATATCTCCTATTGTCTGTCCTAGGACAATGATGATCCATCCACTCCCCAACTTTTTTCAAAAATAAACTGAACTTGAATTAATTGGCTCCGTGGTGAAAATAGCCCTGCCTGAGTCACAGCCCAGGTCTTTTGGGTCCCAGTCCCTAGGGTGTTCATTGATCACATTACATTAACCTGAGCTGGAGAAAACTTGCAGCTCTCTGCACCTCTGGTATGTCATGCCCCAGCACCCGAGCAGAGAAGCTGCGGGAAGCACAGAGACCTGAACTCCGAAGCCAAGATTTGAACAAGTTAGAGGCATCAGGGGACTGTCTACAAAATACGTATCAGAGCAGCGCTACTGACACTCTAGACTCTTCCTACTGGCATTCTAGGCTCTTTCGGACCCTTTTAGGGAAGGAGCAGTGTTGGGATGGAGGACCTACTGTCAGGCAGCTTGTGCTTTTTCAGGAAGATTCTTTAGGTTATTCTGATTTGCACCCCCCCCCCGCAACACACACACACACACACACACACACACAACCTCCCACTGCCTTGGCTAGTACCATTGTCATTGAAATCCCAACTTAGCTGCCTGAAGTTGCCTGATACATGCCCCAGCAGCCCTGGGATAATGGCCCTGCTTTGGAGATGTGCACAGAGAAAGCGCTTCTTACCTTGTTCATGGCTTAGGCTTCCCCACTGCTTGAGAGAGTCTCACTGCTAGCCAAGCTGTGCAGTTTTCTTCTCTGACTCACTGCCTCCCCTCTCAGCTTCCTTCTCTCCCCACCCCCTCCTCCTCCCCCCCTCCTCCTCCTCCTCCTCCTCCTCCTCCTCCTCCTCCTCGTATTTGCATAACTGTCCCTTCTCAGAGAAAATTCCACTGCCCTCTACCTTCTGCCAAAAAAAATGACCCACCTTCCAAGATGACGTTGAGAAAGCATTCACTCCCAGGAAGCCTGGATATTAGCAGCTTCACAGAGAAAACACCATGTCTTTAAGGCAGCGTTGTCCAATAGAACTTTCTGTGATGAGGAAGTGCTATGTATTGCACTGTCTCATTCAGGAGCCGCTGCCATGGGTGGCCATTGAACACTTGAAATGTGGCTGATACTACCATAGTTGAGAAAGCATTCACTCCGGGGAAACCTTGATATTAGCACTGAGAGACTCACCGGTGGGGGACACACTGCTTGAGGTGGGCGGAGAGAAACAAAGGAGGAAGGTTCTCTCCCAACAACCAGGAGGTGATCCTGGAATGTAGACTCCTTGAAAGCAGTTGGAAAGGTGAACTAACTCCCTACGGGTGAAGTGAAAAAGGAAAGAGATCCCTGGAGAACTAGGACTTGAGGTGGATGGGCAAGTCACCCACAATTACAGCCGAAGTGCCCACAGGATCTTAAACCTTACTCTTCTACATTAAGCTTTCTCTTGCAAAAAAGAGGAGAAAAAAACAAGAAAGCTATCTGTGGATGGCACCTGATTTGCTCACTCCACGGGATTTAGGGAGTTAACCTTTTTTTTACTTCTACATCATGTTCTACATCTCCACTCTTCTTGCGGGAGGTAATAAATAACTAGATGTATTACCTAAATGCAACAACTAGATGTATGATAGGACATAGATGCATTGGTGTTTAGTTGGAGTACAGGAAAAAAAATTTCCCCCTAAAGAGAAAACGAAACAAGTTGACATCATAGATTATAGGTTCTTACTGGTTATGTGTCCTTGGGCAAATAACGCAGCTACGCTGAGTTACATCACATGATTGTCGTGAGTGTAAAACAATAGATGAGAAAACTCTTTACTACATGTGCACAAATAAATGTGAGTTGTGGTGAAGTGTAAAAATCACTGACTTTGGAGTCAAACACCTGGGCAAGTCACCCACCTCTCCAAGCCACAGAGTATTGGTGTGAAATAAGATAGAAAATAGCAAGGTAAAGTATATATCCACCTTGTAGAACTCTTGTGAATGTTAGGATTGGATTAATGCATATAACGCCCCTAACGTGATATTATGACAATACTGAGTTAGAAAGTGGTAGTTATTATTGAATCATAATAATACCTCTTTCTTCTTGCTCAGCTGCTGGCTCATTTTCCAGGTCTTGAAAGAGAGAGCAGGCAGAGAGCAGGCTGAGCTCTGGGATAATCTACGAAGTGTCTTTGCTGGTTTCCATCAGCTGAGCCCCCGAAGGCCTAATCAGTAGCAGAAATGACCAGACCTGCGGGGGTACCTTGTACCGATTTCAGTTGTGTGGCCTCCCTCCCGTCCTCCCTGTTTCTCTTGGGCAGGAGGAAGAGACATTTCTCTTCCTCAAAATGACTCCATGCAGAGATGTAAATGGAAGAGCCAGAGCTGGACAGTTGGTGTTCCTGCTTTTATTCTTATTGCAGAAGTAATACTTGTTAATCATAAAAAAATTGTAAAATACAAAATGTATAAGGAAGACAATATAAATCCCTTTGCATTTTGCTGCCCAGAGAAAACCACTGTTGA